AAATCGCATTGAACAAAGCAAATTAAACAATTTTGTATTTTGTCTGTATTTTACGGTTTTTTTTGTTACAGACTGTATTTAATTTTATAACATGAATTTCTATAGTATCGATGATCAAGTAAGGTCAAACAGACAGAAAAACCGATAATAAAAAACCCATTTTCAGTGTTGGCCATTGAGAATTAACCTGGCACAAGTTCTCAAAGACTTTTTATGATGCAATCCTTTAAGTGCCGCTATATGTTCTAATATTTATAGTTAAAGCCGTAAATAAATTGTGATTTAAAATGCTCATAAAATCGTAATTAACATTATCAAAATGTGCAAAGTAAATTGAAATTTACTGAAGATTAGAAAAAATACATATTAGAGGTGACTAATTGTCTTGATTAAGATTTGGAATATTAAAGTTGGAATCATCCCCACCCAAATTATCAAGCGCTGCTTGAAGCATATCTAATTCCGGATTCGCAGGAATATTAGGTTCTCGATTTGTATTTTCGATTGTCTCTGTTTCTTGTCTGGTGTAATTTAACATATTTGATTTTGGCGTAATTCCTGTTTTGACAAATCTAAAAAGTTCTGGTGAAGGTAAATAACCAACAGTTTGCATCTCCTCCAAAGCAATATTTGCTCTGGGATCTCGATGTAGTGCACATTTGCTAACAATCGCTTCGTAAACAGTTATTGGTGGTAAAATATTACGCGATTTCATTTCCTCGAGCAAAGTGAATGCATCCTCGTAATCTGTGTCAGTACACGTTAGTTGAATCATAGCGGTGAAGACTCGAGAAGATGGATCAATACCTCGACTACGCATTTCGTTAAAGAATTGTTGACCAAGGGGGCGATGTTTTATAGTAAGGCAACACTGAATAAGCATTTCGAAGGTTTCCGCGTTTGGCTTTATATTAAGTTTTTCGGTTTGATTATAAATCTCTACAGCTCTGTGTATATCAGCTTCACGGGACCTGGTCTCTTTAATGTATTTGACAAAGCGACAGGCTTTAATTATTGCATTCAAGGCTGATACGTCTACGTTTCTACCTTTTGAACGGAGCTCTTCCAGAGTATAATAAGCATCGTTAATCTTTTCAACATCCTTCTCGATAAGATTGGTGATTGGAAAAGCTGTTACATAATTCGGTTCAGCCCCCGAATCGCGTGCCAGTTGCAATACGTTGAAAGCACGTCTCAGATCACCAGCAGCAACATATGATGCCAAAAGCGCGGCAAAATGCTCTTCTTCAATTTTAATACGCTTTGTTACAAGTGATTTGACGACTGTTGTGGCTAAATCAGGTTTTCCATTTCTAGCTGCTGCATTAATAATACTTAGACATACTCCTTGATCAGGTATCAAATTTGCATCGTCCACTGTTTTTTTCCAGCAATAAAGAATACCTTCGATCTGAAAAATCATGAACAAAAATGTTAAATAAATTATTAAACATGAATAATAGGATTCAATCAATCAAATAATTTATTCATAAATTACTCACATGAAAATGAGTTGCGCAACATCTCAAAATTTCCATATATATTGAGGGCAATACATACTTGTAACATTTTTCAAATTTAAACAATGTTTCTAATGCCAAATCAACTTCGTTTAGTGCAATTGCCAACTTTATAGTGTGCCAAAACGTTTTCGCGGTCGGTATAATGAACCTCTTTTCAATTATTTCATTGAGAACATCGAGAACATGTTCTAATTCTTCTAAAACTATGAAGCCTTCAAGATAATGTTCATAAGTAAGAGGAGTTGGTATCAGATTGTGTTTCTCGAATAGACTCCATACATGTTCACGATATATTCCTGTTTGTGCAAATGATGTCGACTATAAAAAAGGGTCTTAATTAGATTTTTTATATACTTTGAACAGAGGTAAAAGAAAATACACACCAATAATACGTAATTGAATGTATCCAAATCAGGTGGAATTCCATGCTCAATCATTTCATGGAGTAATCGCGTGCACTCTTGGTATAAACCTTCACGGTGGTATACTTGAAGTAAAAGATTATAAGTTTTCGTGTTTGGTTTGATCCCTCGATTTTTCATATTTTGGCAATGATTGTATAGATCAACATAAGTCCCCCCTCTTGTCAATTTCAAGAGTTCTCTATTCATGCTGACCGTCTCAAGTTCTTCCGCGGTTAATGCAATGGAATCATAGGAAGTATTATCACCAGCAGGAGGAGGCAGTGGTGGCGGTGAAGAAACATCAGCAGCAATTGGAACAGCGTTGGCGGCAGCATACCAATTCTTAGTGACTGAAAGCCAAAATTACCTTGAGTGTAAGAGAATTATAACAGAGTATAAGAATACTAGTTTCAAAAATGTTTCCATTTCAAGACTTGCCGTGTAGAAACCTTGTTGAATCGAGACTACTACGACGCGTTATTCCATTCCCACTACCATTTCTCGAAAGTAGTATCGTTGTTAAAGCTTTGTTTGTGTTCGCGTGGAACTTTGGCCCGAGCAATAAACGCTCGCATATTGGTTTAACTGCTCGTAAAGTTCGCGTGGACATTTCTTTATGAGAGGTGGTTGGTGGTTTGGTTAGATGCAATTTTTCGACTGAATTTTTTTTGCGCAATATGTCGATCAAAATCAATAGTAATCTCAAAAAAGTGATGAATTATTTTATCTTTATGATGAATGAATAAATAACTATTCTATTTACAAAATTGCGTGTTGTCCATACACCAAATTACGAATTTTATAGTAATCTTCCGACAGAGAACCTTCGAGAATTATTTCGCCAGCCGTTGTCTTTTAGAAGAATTCAAATTAATATTATGTTGTAATTGAATTCTTTGTTATTAACTATCAATTCATTCACCTTACGAACAGCCACTCGTTCATTACATACTAACACACCTTCGCCTTTGAATTCGGCAGTAATCCCTTCAGTTTGTAAGACGCGTTTGAGTTCTGTCAGTTTAACTTCACCAACAAATACAGGCTGTCGAATATTTGCTTGCTCAGACTTATCCACGTCTAACACCGCAACATCGGAGTCCAAAGGAATATGGATTTTTCCGGTGACGTATGCGAGATCATAGTCATCTAACTGAAAGTATATAATGATGAATTTTAGTTAACGCAGTTATATGTGTTGACGGTGAGGTTACATACCTTTGAGAATTTCAAAGAACTGACTAACGCGTCTGTCAGTTTCACAGGATAGAACTTTATTTCTGCTGAAACATTTAATATTTCACCGATTGCTGGTGTGTATATATCTCTCGTCATGGATTCAATCGCTAGACAACTTTGTTTGAAATCAGTGGTAGCGTCTGGAGATGCATGTATGATAATCTAAAAAATTTTGAGCAAATGCAAATTTGTATATACATTTTTATAGCATAAATAATAAGACTAACCAATTTACGGGGTTGTACTTGAGGCACTATTGTTTTAATAGATCGACCGTCATTTGTACCCTCGAAATCAATGAATCTAATCTGACATTGAAGCTCAATGTCTTGATTATATGACACATATTTAGTCGGTACATCAAATTCAGAAGAATTATAGTTTGGATCGTCTCTTTCATTCTAAATGAAATATCAAAATTGAAACATATAAACAATTTAAAGAAAACACACGTAATTAATATAATATAAAAATATATAATCAATAAATACCATATCAATATCACTTCCCTCATTTCCTTTTCCATCTTCTATATGATCCATAGTGTGTATACTTTTAAGAAATCCATCTGTCTGAAGAGTTTCCCCATATTCGTCAAATCGTTTACGCTTCTCCACATATGGAAACATGCGATAACTCTGAGTCTGTTTAAAAAATCCACCGGATTTTGTCGCGTCTTTAATATATAAATCAAATTGTGTCGACAATAGTTCCTCCATATCGTCATCGTCAACCTCGTCAGATTCGGAATGATCAGACTCGTCATCTTCGATAATCATTTTTGACTTGGCGCGTAAAGCTGCTTCGGCTGCTTCTCGTTCCATTCGAGTACGTCTTTCTGCATTATATTCTATAAGCTCAGCTCCTTCTAGTGGGATCTTTTTGCGAATCTATTATTGAGTATGGACAGAAGTTATTAATAGTTCAATAAATGCAAGTAATAAATGATCTAAAGTTACTCACAACAAAATTCATATTCTTGTTAAAATGTACAGTAGTTTTAATGGCTGGTTGCTGTGATTGTTGTGCAGCCGATGCTAATGTATCTACAGCTGGTTGTGATGACGTTGATTCTTCCCAATTCGTATATAAATATCTTGCTAATGAATTTGGGGGACCACGATCCGTAAGTATCAAAACATTTCTTTTGTCCGTTCCCCACTCCAAAAATAACTCTCGCGCATATCCAGTTTCCAGACTGACATTGCTAGCAAGAACAACTTTTAGACCTGGATACTTTGCAAGATCTTTATATCTATGGCACAATCGAAGATATCTATCATCAAGTGGTAAACGAATCTCGATAAATAAAAGAATAAAAATTGTCTTTGAAATACGAGAAAATAAATAATTACTCGAAAACCAAACGAACCTAAATTCAAAAGGATTTTCTCTCGAGGTATCAAATTGTCTATTAATCGCATCACCCATCCATTCAAGCATACTTTTTGCATATTGAAGTGTTCGATAACTTTGGTGAGTCATTAGAATTAATGGATATTGAATATGATTCGCTGTCCAATACTGATCTAAAAGATACGTCAATTCTAAAACTCTGGCTGATGAATCTGTTGGGATTAATACGTTTCCTCCTTCATTTTGCAATGTTTTAATAATAGTTTCTTTTATTTTTGCATTTGGAAAATTTTTAAAATGATAATTATATTAATAGATGAAATACAAGCAAAGCAAATTTTTTGTTATAAAAAAGGCATTGAATTTACCAAATAACGCGTTATCTCGAAATTTTCTCGGTGGATGAACAATAAGAGAGTTATACGCATCGGTTATCATTAACGAAGGACGACTTAAAGCTTCAAGAACTTCTCCATTCAGGTGTAATACTGTACCATCTAAATGTCTGATAATACAATAATTTTTAATAAAAATCTATATATATATATATACGTACGTATGTATGTGTCTGTAAATAAAGAATATTACTTTTCTTTTTTATGATTATAATCAACAGCATATACAATTTCCTCAGGGTCCTTTTTTATCTTCCATATAGTTCCGCCAAGTGTATGTCCGGCGGAATACGCTGTAATTGTGATTCCTTGGCACTTACCTATGAAGATCATATCCAAAAATTTTCTGTGTAAAGGGTCATATATACATAGTTTGATTTTTGATTTTTACATAATATTCACGAGAGAAATATATAAAATATTAACACATCATTTCAACTAACCTGTCAACGCGGTCGGTTGTGAATACTTTAACGAGGTCACTTTCTCAAAAGCCGTATCGACATTATCTAAAGCAAACGTATCGAATTCTTCCTCATTTGCTTTCGACTGATAACAATCGTACATGCACATTCGACCCATATGTACTACTGGCACAGTAGCATACACAGGACAAGTTAGCCCAAAATTTCCATACGCGTACGGGAACGCGCCTAAATGTGCGAGATCGGGGTGACTGAGTAAAAGTACATCGACTTGTTTCGATACTCTAAAAAAAGACAATGAAGGGACAAAGATTTAAAACAAAAGAATAATTCATTGCATTCGGGAAAAATAACCGTGCAAGAAACTACCTTCTCAAATGTTTCAGATCTTCCAAATCAAAATGGTCGTTCCAGCCACAATCTAGCATTATCTTTACGTTTCCCTCTATTTCTACTAAGTAACATAGTGCTTCCTCGTTCTGAGCGCCAGATATAGCGGTAAATACAATCATTTTCTTTTAAAGTTGTATTGGTCTAACCCCAAAGCCGGCCAGCATTACAACGTAGACTGATGTTACACGGTATATGCAGTTTATAAAGTTTATGATGTAAGTGGTGCACATTGTCTGACTACTTATCTTTATCATTGATTCATTCTTGAAACCCACAGCGAATACCACCACAACAATGTCAACTCGTTGGGACGATTACGAAAATCGCAGAATCTGTCTTCTCCCGATTCCTCGGCTTCGCCTGGGCGAAAATAAACGTGATGTAGGAATTTATGTTTCCGGTGGCTTGGTAAGCTTTAATAAATGCGTGTTTCTTGAATGTTAATAATTATAGCTCTAATGAATATGTATTTGAAATATATTTTACAGTTCGCATTAGGTTGGTGGTTTTTTATCGATGCAGTAGTCTGTTCTTCGACATCAAATGAACATAAGGTCACTTTAACGCTTGTTGATTGGATGAGTGGAATTTTTAGTACACTAGGATTGTTATTGTAAGAATTCAGTTATATATTTATTTTTGCTATTTTAAATAATTTTTATTCTTATATAGAAGAGGAGAGAATTAAATCTTGATTCAATCTTTTCTATGTTAAACACCGTTTTATTTGAACCTTAACCAGGGAATAAATAAATCAATTAATAATAAAAAGAACTTTATTTTTATACATATAATTAGCGTAAATTCTATTGATAAGTCACTTCTCGTTAACGACGATTTTGGGTATTCGAGCAATATATCTCCGTGGACACCACGGTTCCTGTTGTTTATAGGATTTGCATTGATGGCGGGTGGGTTAGCTGGATCTGTGGTATGTAATAATTTAAATAAGAGCAGTTTATATTTTTTTTCAGATTTTTATTATTAATGAATTATCATTATTATTCTCTTTTTAAAAAATATGGTATTTGTTGTTTATGATGATAGACTGTCTTGATTCTTAAATATATAATACCCGAATTCGAGATTTATTTCGGCGTTGCAGAAGTTGCACAGAATACTGCAATTATGCTAAGGTATTTATATTGATTTTATCAATTCTGAAAGATCGTTGAAACCCAAAAATTATTTTTCTGATTTTTTTATTAAAAATATCTAATAGTTCGGTTGTACTTTGGGTTGCACAAAATTCTGAACAGAGTGATTACAATTATAATTACGTCTTGTGAATCTTTATTATTTAATAGTTTCTTGTTTATATATACATACAATATATAACGTAATTATATACATTAAGTCGGTTTGTCTTTTTTTAATTTGTTAATAATCTATTATTAATATTTTTATTATTTACAATGAAAAGAGTTCATTTTTTTCCTTGCTAGATATACGTGTTTGATTTACAGCAGGAATTAGAATGGTTACTATGTGAATATATTAATATCAATTTTATTATAATATAAAATCTTTATTAATGAAATCAGAATAAGTTATTGTTCCGTTGCTACCTGACCGTTTATTATAGAGTTATAAGAGAAAAAGGTCGAGTTGCGCAAACAAAAGCGAGTCGAAAAGGTATTTCTATTATTAATTAATTTTCATTTCACAATTAATGTTTATATTGGACACAAGCTAATCAATAAAATATCGAATACAATAAATGATTTTTATCAAAGAAAGATAAATATGCTGTCTTCAATAATAAAATAAACCAAAAATTATTTATACAATAATAAATAATAATAATAATGATAATAAAAGCACAAGCATTTGATAATCAATCACCTAATTGAAATTCACGTTTCCTCTTCCCTTTCTTCCTCCTCTTTATCATCATCCCTCACCGCCAGACTTTTGTTTCTCTTTTTCTTTTCCAACTCTTTAATCATTTTAACCACCAACCCATCATCATCGTATACTAATGTCCCAGCTTTCCACATTCCAGTCTTTACTCCAATTTCTTTATTTTTTTCGTACTCTTTTCGAATCGCGTCTTCATTTCCTTTCCAATCTTTATATAGTTGCAGGTTTTGGCGGCCCATTAGACGCATTGTTTTTACGCGTAGATCTTGTGCGCCCTTTTGGGTAGAAATGAGTTAATTATTATAATCGTGGTGGCGTGGATTATTTTACATAATATATACGAACCCAACCCGGCAATAAATTGTCTGAGATTTCGCGAAAATGTCCAATTCCATATTTTGCTATCCCTTGAATGAGTAATGAACGTTCTTTCTCGGTCCATTTACGTTGTCCATTACTTTGACTAAGTATTGCACCTTGGGTTGGCCGAAAGTAGCTTTTTGAATTTTTATACATTAAATTGATTGAAATATCATTTAAAAAACTTCAAATTTATATAACTTACGCTTGATTCAATGTTCCATCGGGATGTATCATATTCTTTGTAATTTCAAATTCCGGTTGAACACAAAACTTAACACGCATTCTCTTGACCCATTCCTGCTTTACTTTGTATTTATCTTCTGCTATTACCGGGTTTTCAGTATCACCCGTATTTTTCTTATATTGGACAAGGTTGCCATCGGTTTGCTCAGGTGTAAGAATTGCCGGAGCAAATTCTGTAATTGAAAATTCATCATTGTTATCTATTTGCATTGGTTCATGTGGAATAATAGCTGGCGTTTCCTGTGTCATTTCAACCAAACACGTAAAATACTGTGAAGGAGAACTAGGCAAAGAACAATCCGTTATGACTGCGTCATCACTAAATTTATTATTATCGCCAACATGCAAATGCTGAGAAGTGCCCGCGTCAAGGCTGGCATGGACATACAAATCACTTTTTGGTTTAGAAGTAGCTGAATCAATTGTTTCTGTCATATATTCCACTTAACAAGCTATAATAATAATGTTTATTCTATATTATTCTCTACTAGTAGTGTACATAGTAAATGAGTGCAAAGTCTAAAGTCGCGTCGCTTTAAGCTAAATTTTGGGATGTTGATCGATCAGGCTATGTTATAAGAATTTCTACACACCAATCGATACTATCGACACTGCAATTTCCAAAAAACAAGGATATATAGATAGAGTAACGCGTCAAAAAATAGATTTAAAATATAGATTTTTTTTTATTTTGAAAAGACGCACACACATCAGCCAAAATGCCTATAAAACGCACGAAAGTAAAAGTAAAAGATAACATTTTTATCTTTACGTATTTTTAATATAGTTAATAGAAAGACGCGAAAATGCGTTAACTATAAACGTCTAAAATACTTTTATTTAAATAGACAAATATCACCACGTATAAATCTAAAGCTTCATCGCTTGCGACAAAAAAGAATGGGTCGAAATCGTCTTCGAAGACTGCCATTAAGGGAAAGACGAAAGAGGTATCATATTTGTTTGCTTGGACATTTATTGCCTATTCATTGGGACAATTTTAAATGAGGCATAATTTTGATTATATGGAGCACCAAATTCGATGTCGACATTTAATCAATTTGCCCAACAAAGTTTATTTTCTGTGTCAATTTGACAAAATGGTTGATAAAGTCTTTAATACTTCTTTATTTTAACTCTGTTTTCATTTTCTTGAGACGTCAATGCCAGTATTTGAGCCCACGAAAATGGCGGTCTTCTCCAAACAATACCCAGATCAATATTGGAAATGTCATGCCGAAAGTGGTCACGGAATGATTAACTATATAAATGAGGGACACCAACTCGAGTTAATAAACGTGGATGTTCATGATCAAGGTATCAATATTTTCGTGTATCATCTGACTTTGAGTCGGAAATATTTAAGGCATATTGAATATGAATGATAATCCTTATTAGGTCCAATAACCGGCATGACTCTCTCTCCGGATGGCACGATGCTTGTCACGTTTTCTAATGTTGGATATGCTAAAATATGGGACACTTCGGATTTTCGAATGATTCAAAAACTGAGAGATTCGGAAATTTCGGTAAATAATAAACAATGTTTTTCGAATTCGCCGAGTCACTTAATGACGTGATGGAGTTTTTGGTACTTTATAATAATAGGAAACACAAATAGATGAATTCTTTGTTGGAAAATTCACCCCTGATCAAACTCGGATTGTCGTCGGAGGAAAGTTAAAAGATAGAATGCGCTGGTCGATAGAAGATGAAGATAATCACATCTTACCGTGCCCGTTAAAGGTCCGAATTTTATTTTTTGTTATGGTTTTTTTTACAGCTTAAAAAATCTGATCCTGGTATTTTCAATTTATCTTTCCGTTATTATTCAATCAGATATTTGATGTAATAAGTGGCAAAGTTATTTCAAGACTTGATGGTCATGCGGAAGAAATACTATGTGTAAAGAACATCATGTATAAGGACACCCCATACTATATAACTACTAGTCAGGATGGGTATATTATCAAATGGCAAATGGAATCTGATTGGACGTGAGTTGTCGTTGTTATTATACTTTATATTTGATATGCAAGTCTTGTTTGTACAAGATTAATCAATATAACTCGAATATTTTTCAGAACGCTTGTTAGCTCAAAAAGAATGGAGGACGGAATAACATGTATGGCATTTACGGTTTCTTTTGTTCCGAACACTGGTAACCGATATTTTTTGGCTGCCACCGATGAACACATTAGATTGTATGATTTCGAAGAAGCACAGGTGTGTGTGCCTGTTGATTGTCTTTGATCGTCATCATTAATTAATAGTCATCGTTTTATTCAATTTATAATTAATAATTAATCATCTAAACTATTTAATTGAATTATTTCCTCTAATTTTTTTAATCGTCAAGCTTATGCAAACTTTTGCAGATATGTATTCGCAATATTGTGACTGTGGTAAATTTATTCATCCTGTGGAGTCGCTTGAGGAAGAGGATGAGGATGACGATGAAAGTCCCATAGATATCGACGAGGCTTCCGCTACTAAGAATAATCACAATAATATTAATATTAATAATAATATTGTTAATAATATTGATAATAATATTGATAATAATATTAATAATGATAATGATAATATTAATAACAATAATGATAAGAATAATAATACTGCTAATAGTAATAATAATAATAATACTGTTACTAGTAATAATAACACTTCTACCAGTAACAATAACACCACCACTACTAAACCAAAATCGAAAAAGAAGAAAAAACAAATTGCGTATTTTGTTTCTCGTGGAGTCGAGATTCTGGATACTGGAGATGGAACTGTCGGTAAGTAATAACGATTTAAATATTACTATAATGAGTTTGATGTTGAGCATGTCATTAAATCATTTACTGTTGCAAAAAGCATCACGGCGTAATGTCTGTATATTGCATAAATTAATATATCCGATACGAAAAGGAGTGGCATTCCGATTGGAGCAAGTAAGAAAATATCAACATGAAGAGTGAGTTTGAACGCATTTTCTATTTTCTTTTTTTTTTGCGCGAATTTATAAGCTAAGATGAAAAAATTAACTTGAACTTTCCGGGTTGATGTAAATTTAGTTATCACGCGAATTCATGGCTTATGAAAATCTCTTCTAATGGTCGATACCTTATGGCTCCTACTATGACTGGTCAAGTGATGACATTTAATTTGAAGACGGGAAAAGTATCTGCAATTTTGCGAGATCACGAAGGTAAATAGAAATTTAGACTCGGCTGTTATATTGAATAGTCAGTAGAATTTTCAAAAAAACAGCCACATTAACTTATTTTGATTTTCACGATGACTTTACAGAAGATCTGGAAGTGCGAGATGTCATATTTCATCCATGGAAACCTTTATTATTTACTTGTGCTGATGGTAAGTGAATCACAAATATATTACGTTTATTTCAAATGGGCGGATTTGATTCCACAACTGATTTAACTCCAGCCGAAAATTACCAAAACTGGGCCTAATCTAAATCGTTATGGAGTCAAATCAGCCCATACGTGATGAACTATTTATTATTGTTCAAAAATGACATTTAACTCCTGAATAGACGGGTGTGTAAAAGTATACACATATAAAGACAAGCAAAGCATCATCGCATCAATAAAGGTAAAAATCAAAAAAGAAGAATTGCAAAAAAGTATCGCAGAGTTGAACTCTATTCATGGAATAAATATTGATCCGGAATTAATTCCTATTGTGAAAATCGAAACACTCACGGAAGGAGAGACAGAGGTGGATATTGATAATTAGATTTTAGTATATATATCGATATCAGTAGTTTGTTGATTCACATGATCTGGTAAAAATTGCTAAATCTTTTCCCCTGAGAAAAATTGTTTAATTTCTTGTTTTATTCGAATAGGATACATAATTGTTTCCTCTTTCTTTAAAAAATAAAATTTGTCTTTATACTATTCAATTAATGTCTACAGGAAAAAAAACTAAAAAAAAAAATGCGCGCAATTGCAATTAATAAATGGTTAGAAAATGTTGACGAAATTTCTGTTTCTGATAATGTACCTGAACCAGAATTGGTCAAAGGACAAGTGTTAGTTCAGATAAAAGCGATTGGTCTTAATTTCTTTGAAATACTAGAGGTAGGCAAAATCACCAACTGTTATTTTTCTAATTATTATAATAATACTTATTTTCATTGTTATTTATTATTAGGTACAAGGAAAATATCAACAAAAATTTCCATTTCCTTTTATTCCAGGTGCAGAGGTAACATAAATTATTAAAGGAAAAACTCGGATTACGTAAAAAAATTGATCAATTAATGCTTGTTAGTTTTCTGGAGTAATTATAAAAATACACCCAGAAACCAAAAACAGAAAGCTAAAAATTGGTGACCGTGTTTTTGGCCAAGCACGAGGAACATACGCAGAACGAGTTGCCGTACAAGCAACAAACCTACATCCGATTCTGGATGGAATGAGTTTCGAGGATGCAGCCGGGTTGTTCATCACGTATCCGACAAGTTATGCTGCTTTGGTACTTCGTGCCCAATTGAAGAGGAATGAATGGTGTTTGGTGCATGCGGGTGCAGGCGGTGTTGGTATCGCTGCTGTGCAGGTTGCAAAGGTGAATAAATATGGAGTCTAAAGATTTTGCTTTTTGAATATTAATGTCGAATTAAAAAATTTAAAGGCTCTGGGAGCTAAAGTAATCGCGACTGGAGGTTCAATAGAGAAATTGGCAGTTGCATCACAGAATGGAGCAGATTATGTTATAAATTATAGGGATAAAGATTGGACAAGACAGGTAAAGAAAATTACGGGTGATCATGGTGTCGATGTGGTATTTGATCCCGTTGGGCTCATAGAAGAATCAATGAAATGCATAGGTAAGTAAATTTATTATTATACTTTTATTCTTAACTGATATTATTCACTAAATACTATATTTCATTAGCATGGAATGGTCGATTAGTAGTAATTGGATTTGTGAGTGGTAAAATCGAAAAAATATCGATGAACCGTGTCCTTTTAAAAAACTGTGCAATCCTGGGTTTATTCTGGGGTGCACATTACGAATACGCAGAAGAAACAGTCCCGGTAGTTTGGGATGCACTCTTACATCTATTCAGAACCGGACGATTACGTCCAGTTGTTTATCCTAAAGTGTTTGATGGATTGGAAAATGTTAAAGAGGGATTGAAAGCGTTGGAAGGTAGGCAAACATTTGGAAAGGTGGTCGTTAGACAGAATAGTAGTAAAACTGATAATGTTGTGCAGAGTAAGATTTAATTTGAGGTTTTGTTTCTTCTGAATCTAATAATAATAATATGTAACTTATAATTATTTGTTCATATAAGAATTACTTTCAATGTTTATTACGCAAGCAGATACATAAACGCATACAATTATACGATAAACAAACACGCGCAGGAGAACTTCTTTAATTATTAATTTGCTCTAATTTTATTGATGAATTAATTTATGCCAACAATTCAATCTAATCAAAGAGACCAAAGCCCATATCCTGTAATAAGCCATGAAAAAATCGTTATTAATTAACTGTTAACGTGAGCATAAACGATAGAAAGGAACAGAAGAACAAAATTTACCTCATCAGACTCGTCTTCCTTTTCATCTTTCTTAGCTTCTTCGGCAGGAGCTTCTTCCTTGGCTGCAGCACCACCTGCAGCGCCTCCTGCAGCAGCGCCGCCGCCACCACCACCAGATGGCACAGAAGCGAGTTTGGTGGCACCTTCAGCAATTAACTTTCAATCATCAAAATAAAATTAAAAATATTAGTCATCAAGTATAGATATCTAGAATTATATAAATTGATCACAAATAATAAAATATAATATACACCTCGTTGATTTCTTTACCCTTTAACTCCGCAAACAATGTCTTCAAACGATCGTCGTCCGCTTCGATACCAACCGTTTTTAGGAGTTGCTTGATTTCTTTTGCGTCTGGTGTCTTACCAGCGAGATCGAGTAAAAGATATGCTGCTAAGTGCTTCATTATATTTTGGTTATTTTATAAAGTAAACTATGTGCTAAGATATTATAGACGATATTAGTAATATTGATTTTTACGAAGGATTAATTGCTTGAATTGATATCGCAGTAACGTATTTTGTTTTTATTTGAACTCTGCAAACGTCACTCACCTCTACTTTACTCGATATACAAAACAATTTTATTTTTTTGGCGTAAAAGTCGACTTTAAAATAAAATCTTTAACTCGCTAAAATAAATGGAGAACTATTACGCTCTAAAAATATAAATTTGCACTTTCTTTAGCGAAAATTTTTTATTACATATATTGGTCACGTGATTTCCTGTTAAATACGATGATTTGCTGCGGTGATCCAATCTCTAATGGAACACTAGTGCAATTCGGATCTAGTCAATCCAGTTATAATCTGTGTTGATTTGATTCGGATTGGCAAATGCAAAGAAAAATATAATAATAAAATATATTTTTTGTATTAAATACAAGTTATAAGTGTTATAATAATAAAATAACAGGATAAAATTTGAGTAGCAAAAAAGAAAAAATCTGTATCAATTAATTATATTATAAAATTTATTATTTTTGTAAAATTTATATTTATTATTTGTATCATATAAAATCTAACATTATTATAATCTGAAATTATCTCTAATTTCTTAATTTTTTAATTTTGATCATGTAATAAAATATAGATTGTAAAGATAGCAGAAATAATAGAATTCTCAGACATGTCAATATTATTTATTATATTATATTTATTTAATATCTTAACTTAATTATAAAAATATTTTATATAAATAAAAAATCTTTTGGATGAACCAAAAGATATTAATTAATTAACACAAAATCTAGCTAATTAATAAATCACTTCTTGTTTATTGTTTAATGAAATTATATATTAATTAATTTTATAATTATTAATCTTGTTATAATACTTACTTTTATTATGCATTATTGAATATTCAACCAGATTGCTATAAAATATCAGTACTATATTAATATAGAACTATTATTATATTAAAAAAATATTTATTAGTAGTAGTAATATCCTATTTTATTTAATAAAATAAAAAAATGGATTATATATTGATTCTAAAATAACTGAATCAAAATTAATAAATTGGAGAATTGCAAATAGATATTAATTGAACATTTATATCATAAGAATATCTATCAAAATCCAACTCGTGATAATACTTTTTGACTTAAAAATACAAATTAACAATAAACAATTAGAAAAAAAAACAATAATTATCAAATAAGTATATGAGATAATAAATCAATTGAACTTTAATTGAGAAAAAGCAATTTAAAATATTGAAAAACAATAACAAAAACAAAAAGAACATTATAATTAAAATAAAATTGCTCAACAATTTCAAATTGAACAAAAAGTCTTACTTTGTCAATTGGAAATGTAATACTGATATTATAATAAATTTGATAAAAAATAAAAAGATCCTCATTATATCTATAATATTTATGATAAAGATGCTTATAAATTAAAAACTTTGAATAAAAAAGTTCTTAAAAATCTATATAGTAAAGATTATTTGAAGATTTATAAAGAGCAAATAAAAAGAAATGTTGTAAAAAAAGAAAATAATAGTATAAATATAATTATAAATAATTATAATAAAGAAATCAAGAAATAAAAAAAATAATTGTAACAAAAATAAAAAAGAAAATAAGATAAATATAAAAATAATTAGTTAAAAATAATGAAATAAAAGATAAAAATAAATATAATAGGAGTATAAATGAGATAAACTATAGCAAAATATAAGTTTGATAATAAAAAATACAAAAATAAATAAATTTAATAAAACAGTAAAAGAAAATAAAACAAAAAATATATAAAAATATGATTATTATTTAGGTATTATAATTTAAATATCAAAAAAATAATAATATATACTGTCACCATTTTCAGAGTCATTGCTTATAATAATATAGTAAGTGATAGTGTTCAATTAAAAAATCAGATTATTAAACTATCAAAATTTATAATTTAAATATCAAATATTAAAATAATAGGGTGAACATAACTTTTAACAAGAAACTTAACAAAAATAAATATGATAGCTATTAAAGCTTTCCTGAAGTACCAGTTAATAATAGTTATTGTCATTATTTGATATTTTGGATTACATATAAAATATTATATGACATACTTTAATAATCATTTATATTTTCTTTTATATTTTTTTATTTATAATTTTATTTTTAATTATTTAATTTATTTAATTTATATATAATTTATCAAAATATCAATTAATTCTTTTTAATATTGTATTATTTATTTTATTATAACATTATTGGATTTAAATTCATTCTATTTTCGTTTAATATTAATTAATATAGTACTAATATCACTTTAATTTAAATTGTATCACTTAAATTAAATTAATATTATACTTATTATTTCTTGGTATTACACTTCTTTTAAATTAATTTTATAATTGTTTTTAAATAATATTACTTATTATATAAATCTATATTACATTTACATGTATTTAAATAGATATAATTTAATATAGAATAATAAGAATTTTAGTAGTAATTTTGAAAGTAATAAAAATATAGAAGTTAATTAATATTTCTAAATAATTTTTTGCTTATTATTATCTTTGATTTATTATTTACTTAACTTTGACTTACTTAACTAGTGGAAGTCATCTTTTGTATTTTAATAAATTATTCGCACTTTTAAATTATAAAATACTTGTTCAACTAATGAAAGTATTAAAATCTATTTCTTTTTAATACTCTCTTTCAACTATCTAGTATTTAACTCTCTCAAGTACACACAGTTACTATTATCATTTTTATATAATTCTTAATTAATTACTATAATTAGTTCACACTTTGTCTATTAATATAAGAATGGTAATATTATATAAAAATGCAAATACAAATATAATAAAAATAAATATAAATACTGCCTCTCTTTAGGCCAGCAACACAAATAAAAATAAAAATAATATAATGTTTTCCTGATATTTCTCAAAAACTTAAAAACAATAATAATGCAAATAAATAAATAAATAAATAATACAAATAATAAATAATAATATCAATAATAAATATAAATATAAATATAATATGAATAATTAATAAAATATTATCATCATTTTACTTGAATTTCAAATACATTATATCTTTTTACATGCTCAATAAGTTAGATAGGAGAGATAAGATAAATAACTAAAGATGATGATGTGTATTCATTAAATTACTAGTCAGCTAAAAAGTGACTTAAGAAATCTTCTTATAATTTAATATATATTTAATAAGATAATTACGATAATGATTTATAAATAAGTAAAATATTATAAATTCAATTTATTAAATCATTTCAACAATATAATATCACAAACGTGTGAGAGATCAAATTATAAAAATAATATTACAAACATGTAAGAGATCATTAATATAATATTACAAACATGTAAAAGATTATAAATATAATATTACAAATATATGAAAGATTATAACAAAACTAAAATAAAACTTTAAAACTTAAATAATGAAATAATAAAAGAAATATTTAAACATTCTAAATATATTAATTTTAAAAAGATATTATTATCAAAGGAATTTATTTTTAAGTCATTAATATTTAAAACTTGATTGACTAATTTAATAACTAATTTTTCTAAGCTAAAATACATGTTTCTTTTATATAAAATTGTTAAATCAAAATTACCAATGATATTCACAAGAAAATTGCTTATTCACTTGCTTGTTTGTTTGCTTGTTTGCTCACTTGATTGCTCGCTTATTTACTTATCTTGTGATCTAATATAAATATAAATCATCTAATATAATCTAAATAAATAATCTATATATTATTTGTAAATAATAATATAAATGTAATATAAATAATAATATAAATAATAATATAAATAATATAATATAAATAATATAATATAAGATATAAATATAAAGATCTTAACTAATTAAAATATAAATATGTGTTCTCAAAATTATTCAATAAAATTAAATGATAATTTTGACTAATAATTAATGTGAAATTTCATTATACAACAGTATTGAAAAGCTTTGAACTTTTTCAATTTTGGCTGGATCAGGTTTAATTTCATTCTTTCAATAATATAGTCAAGAAAAAATAGTGATGTTTTTTCAAAATGGCATTTTTCTAATTGTATTTTTAGTCTAGTAATGCAAATTTTATCCAAAGTTTTTTGAAGATATTGAAAATATTGTTCAAATTTAGAAGAATATACAATTATATCATCCAAATAAATAATTATAAACTTGTCAATATATTTTCTAAATACAGATTCATAAGTTATTTAAAGGTGACAAATGCAATTGTTAAACTGAATAACATGATATTAAACTCAAATAGATTTTATTTGATGATAAATATTGTTGTATAATGACCTTTCATCATAATATTTTATTGGATTATAAATATCTCATATATTATTGGATAAAAATCATATCACGTAAAGCGAGCGAACAAGCGAACAAGTGAACGAACAAATAACTAAGTGAACAAGCGAACGAACGAGCGAACGAATATTAAATCAATAGAATTTAAGTGATATAGTGTACATGAATTCGTATAGTCTAGAAATCATATCTTGGATTTGTATAAAAACAACATGTATCGTAGTTATTAGAATTAGATATGAACAAGTTCTTTTAGATAGTAATTCCCAATTATCACATCTAATTAGTTATCACGTAGTTTTGATCGTTCAAAGAAAAGTAGTTTGCACTTTATGTAGAGTAGGTAGTCAAGCGC